CCTTATTGTATGTATATATTTGTAATGGAGACAGATTTTTATAAAAAGATTTCATATTTTTGGGGAGATTTTTGCCTGGACTCCTTTCCATCATGCAATAACTTAAACATCACTACATGCTAAGTTTGTTATTCATGAACAGGTATGGGAAGAACATATTCTTGGCTTCTTAGAACAAGAACACTTGATGTGATATGTGTGTGAATGGGTTGAAGAATCTAGCTGGTTGTTTAGCTGTCGGCTCCAAACAAAAAGAGAACTTAGGAAGCACACTTACCAAAACACTTGCATCCTCTTATAGGACTATTGTCATTGTAGTTTTCCTTGTTTGAATTAGATTTTCTATCTCATCCACCAGTACATCTTCCTACATTATCTGGAAGAGCACACAATTATCTTAAATTATGGAATTTTATTCATAGGTCCAATTTTGAAATATTTGATGCTCAATTGGTCAATACCTTTTCTTTTCTTTTCCCTTATAGTCTCTATTTATCCCAGCACATGCTTAATTGATTAGCATGCATCCCACACCAGCTATATCTCACGCATATTTACTGTTAAGTTTATGTTCAAAGTTAAATCCAATTTTGGGCTTTCAAGTATAGTGGGAATTCCACTTTTTGTCCTCAACTTTAAAATTGGAAACAAATTAGTTCTTCAACTTTAATGGTTTAGACACTTCTGATCCTGTGGTCAAATGTTTCCTGTTAGATTTGGATGGATCAAGTGGGTCAAAATTTGGAGGGTGTTTTTTGTACTTTATTAATCAAAGTTCTATTGCTAAAGCACTTCCACTGTCTGGAAAACCTAATTCCTGCTATTCCCACAGGGAAGTGGTGTGAACTCTTCTAAAATCATACTACTGAACAACAATTTCATCAGATCATTAATCTAAAGTCCTCACTGAACTATAGATTTACAATCATGTACTTGGCATATTCTTAAGACTTAAAAGGCACACAGAACACTCATTTTTGCATGGTAGACTGGTAGTATAATTTTAGATGAGCTCAATAATAATTATTATTATTATTATTTTTGGATGGGGATAAGGTGCTTCTAGTGTAGTTGAGTTCTTTAGCAATGGAGTATTGGAGATTGAGAAATTCTTAATAAAATGACAAATATACCCTCCAAGTTTTGTTTATTTTTCCATCCAAATCTGAAAGAAAATCTAACAGCATCACCAAAAGTGTCCAAAAAATAGAAGTTGAAGGACTAGTTCCTTGTGTTCAAGTCTATGTGCTAGAGCCAATGGGTTTGTCTAAAGAGAAATGGTCCTGTATGTCCTAGTTGGGGGTGTGATCCTACATCAGTTAGGTATGATTTCAATGTGCCTTTGCACAGGTCCCTTCAGGTATCTTGCTATAAGATTTTGGATCAGGAGTGTTGGATATATATGCTCTATTCCATTATATAATATGAATTTGATTGTTTAGTTATGTGCCACCAGACATGCTTTTTCCTGAACCCTTCCCCTGAAATAAAAAGGAAGTGTGTGCATGTGCGCGCGCGTGCGTGTTAGTGTGTATGTGCTCTAACAATGACATAGTTTGTTTTAGGAGGATTTGCGGAATAGCATCATGTCAACTTTGAGGCAATCAGAAGCACTTAATTGTCCAAGTGCAAAAAGAATGAAACCAAGGCAGCTTTCTGATGCCGTATATCAAGAAGTTGGGTAAGTTGATTGTTTTTGAGTGGTTTTGGATATTGGGTTCTATGGGCTTGGTCATAAAGGATTGCATTACATTTTCTAGCCTATTTTTTGGGTAAATCTATTGTGCTCAGAGGGCATGGTTCCCCAATGTGGTAAGACCATATGACGTCTTTATTCATATGACAATGTAGGTATGGTGCTCATATAGGCACTATAGAATTAACCCTATTTTTAGGTTGTGACTTGTTAATTGTCATTGCAAAAAACAAAGCAGGATTTTTTATGACTTGCTGAATGTTGCATTTCTCAGCTTTTAGTCTAACCTTTGCTATGTTTCAAATCATAGGACTAAAGTCATGAGTGAAATTTCTGACGGTATCTGGAAGGTAATTAGATCTGGGGAAGGCATGAAGAATGAAATAACAGAAACAGTACAATCTGTTTACAATAAGTTAGTAAACCCAAATGTAAATGAAGAAGGTCAAACATCTTATGGGCCAAACTTGCAGTCAGCTGAGATGGGAGTTGAAAGTAATGGTCATGCTACTTCTTCAGCATGTGAAACCAATGGTACACTATCTAATAGTGCGCCAAATGAAACTCCTGGTTTTGCTAGGTCTGATTTAGGTCAGAATAGCAAAAATAACCACGGGGAACCAGGGATGCCTGTGCCAAATGACAGTAAAGCAAGAGAGGTATACAAGTTAGAGACCCAAGGCTCAACACATTGTTCAGATCCCAACGATGAGGATACAAATGCACCTCCTCCAGGGTTTTCTAATGTCATGGAGCATAAGCAGTCAAGTGATGTCAATGATGAAGACCCTGATGTACCTCCAGGTTTCGGTTAATGTTTCTATTCTCAATGGTCAACAAGGTTTTAGCCAATGACATGGGCATATCATTGTTGTATCAATTATTAGAGCTCATACTGGAACTCATCAAAGAGCTGACAATGTTTATGAACCAAGGTCAGATACTCAATTTAGTGAGAAGCATGAATGAGATGATCTCTCCAATACTCTTAGTATCAAACTCCAAGCTCTTAATATAAGAAATATATCATGACAAATTGTTACATCAACTACATGTTTTGTCTATTTTATATACATATATTAGTCTCTTAATTTTGCTATATTTTAGCATTGTAGAATTCTTTTTAGATTTAGCTGCCTGTACCAAATATTTATGAAAAAAGTAGAAAATTTTCATTTTTACTGTTAAATTTGTTATATGATTTTGGTCATATATTTGAACATGGAATGTACTCCTTTCCATTAAATTGTTATTCAAACTCTCATTGGTTTTTCTAGGACATAGTGGCCTGGAATGGACAAACCCGAATGCTAAATGCACACATACCCTGTTGATTGCTTCAATAGAAGCTTGATTAGAAGGTATAATTAGCAAATTTCCTTTCTTTAATTTCAAGCATTTTCTTTGTTGATTATGTAGTCGTGTGCTTTTTCATTAGTAATTAATAATTATGCCTGTGAATTTGGCCAACAGGCAAATCACTACTTGAATAGGAACAAGGAAGAACTGAAGAAGGATGGTTACTGGTTCAGTGGTTGTGGACCTCGATCCCTCGTGCTTCATGCACTCTATAACAAAGCCAAATCATAATTGTGAGTAATATTCATTATTTCAATGTTCTTTGGGCTTATTGGTGGAAAAAGACCTCAAATTTTTATATCTTCGGACAATTATATCTACAATTTTAAATTTTAAATTTTAGTAATTTGATATCAACGATTATATTATTCAATTATATTATCTACTTATCTAGCCCTAAATATAATTCAATTATGTTATTTTAGTTATTAACTTATGGTTATAATGTTTGAAGTTAGACATTGTGATGCATTATATATATATATATATATATATATATATATATATATATATATATATATATATATATATATATATATATATATATATTAATATTATGTACGCTGTAATTTTTTTTTAAATAATTTGTGTGCCAGCTCAATAAAATTGGGTTGGGTTAGATATTTTCTTGGATGGTATGGAATAGACATTTTGATACATTATATATATATATATATATATATATATATATATATATATATATATATATATATATATATATATATATATTTTTAAGTACTCCGTAATTTTTTAAATAATTTTTGTGACAACACAATTTTAGATTAGATATTTTCCTGGTTTAGAAATTATAATTGTTACTAATTCAAATATTTAATATTAATTTGTGAAACTTTAATGGTTTGTATATAATTGGTTGCATAAAATTAGATATAAATGTTACTAAACATAACTTTTTGTTTTTTGTTTTTGTTTTTGTTTTTGTTTCTGTTTTTTTGTTTTTTTTTTTTGTTTTTTTAAAGTTAAAAGTCTATTGTAATGCTTGTTTGTTTGTTTTTATTTTTATTTATTTCATTTTATTTTTTTTCATCAATAACCCTTATTTTGAAGTGAATGTTTATCAATTAATGTGACATCTGAAATATAAATTCATCACAGCTTCAGAAAGTTTTCATCACCGAAATGAAGCACACCAAACTTTGTGCACTAGGGGGATTGGTCCGTCCATATTATACCAATTGGACTCCGTACGCGTAAGAGCTATTGACCCAGAAAAGTGACAGGACTGAAGAAAATGAATTGGTGTCATGAATAATTTTTGGAAAAATGTTAAAGTGGGCTCTGGGAGTAAAATTGTCATCATGTGTCTTGATTTTATTAGAGGAAAAAGAGAAAGGAATAATTTTTCTTTTGAATGAATTAAAGTGTCATATAAGTAGGGAGTAAAAAATTGAGAGTATGTGAGTGATTAACAACCCATTACAAAAGCCAGCAAACCATGGTTATGATGCAGCGTTTTAAGGTTTTGCAAGTATTTTTCGTTGTGGATGTCTGGTTCCTGACTTCTTGGTGGATTTTATTTCGATGTATATATGTATCTTATTCTGTGCTAGGTGGTGATTTTCAAGGCAAATTATTGTATAGGCCATGGTTCATATAGCTGTGTAAACTATGAATACAATACACAATTTTAATATATTAAAAGTACATTATTTGTGTACTGAATGTATACTATTTGATAATATATAAAAATGTATATACTTTTAAATAATGTATTTTATGTATACAAATAATGCATTTTTAGTATATTAAAAATGTATTTTTTTATTTATGGCTCACATAAATGTGTGGATTATGGTCCATAGAATAAAGATTGGATTTTCAAGGCTTGCACGTTTTTTGATTTATTAAATGCTGCACTTGAAAATTATCTTATTTTAGATGTTGAAAAATGAATAGTACGACATCTTGTTAAGCAGCAATCACCGAGAATGAAAAGTAAATAAATTATGCACTAATATCGTCCCACCATGGCAACATATATTTGTGGGAACAAACATTACAAGCTAAGGGGCAAAGAACAGTAATCATAAAACTGGCAAGTGGAAAAAGAATAATGTAATTACAAGCTGGTGCTACACCAGTTTAGCTGCAATGGGACTCCTAACATGGTGCTTAACAGATTTCCACCTCAAAGCTCCTTGAACCACTGGCGGCATGTTCGACCTGGCCGCCTTGGACGACAAGCTAAATGTCACATTGTACGTGAGCTTCTGGTTCACCTTGGAAAACTGGAGTTCACGGGGCTCAACATTCACCTTAACACCAGGCGGTTCAAAAATTTCCACGGTATAAAATGAACTTGCTTCTCCAACATTGGTCACTGTTCTTGTGTATGTCTGAGCAGTTGATTCCAGGATGATGGAAAACGAAGGATAGTTCAGTTGTGCTTCTGGAATGCTTATCACGGCTGAGCAATTCACCCTGTGTTGCAGAATCACCCCGACTTCCCGGTTCGTGTAGTTCAACCCGCAGAGATATGGCAGGTAGTCTTCGGGTTTGGTGTCGTAAACCAGTCCTGGATCATTTGCTTTGGAGGGGTTCACGTGTCCTGCGCCAATGGAGAAGACGCTGGCAGTGACGAGGTGCTGATTCTGGATTGGGTTTTGCCCGTGGTTGAGAATATCCGCAGTTGTCATCATTGCAGACTTGATCATGGCCGGAGACCAATCGGGATGGGAGCTTTTCAGCAGCGCTGCAACTCCGCTAAGGTGTGGGCAAGACATTGAAGTCCCAGAGATTATGTTGAAGGTGGATTTCGAGTTGGGTTTGTTATCCACGGAGGTGGGCCACGGCGCTAGGATGTTAACCCCGGGGCCGATAATGTCCGGCTTCAGGATTCCGGGGCTTTCTCTGTTGGGTCCTCTGGACGAAAACGCTGCAACCGTCGGAGCATTCTTGTCCCCTGTGATTGTCCCTTTGAACGAGAATGTGGCCATTGGGTTGGATGTTGCATTGATATAAGCCAGGATTTTCTGCCCGTCTGCATATGTTATGTCTATTGCAGGAAGTACGTGTGCGGTGGCGGATGTTGTGATTCCGTACTCCTCAGGTTCAATCAGAATCATTCCACGCCCGCTGGCGTTTTTCACCGCTTCTCCTTTCCCCCTTCTGTCCAGAAATCCTCCGGTCATGCACACCACTATCTTGCCTCTAACGTCGGCGTTTCTGAGCGATTCGCTATCGCAGTACGGGGAGCTGGATTCATCGCTGGTGTTCTGACCGGGAAAGACGAGGGACAACAAACTTGAATTGAAATCCTTTGGTTGAAAGGCGGTTTCCCCGTGGAATTGCTGGCGGTTTCCGAGCACGACGGTGGCGCTGAGTTTTCTGTCGACAGTACTGGCGCCGACGGTGAGCATCCAGGGAGCTTCGTTGGATAAAGAGCCATTGAATGGGCCTTCGTTACCGGCCGAGGCGCTAACAAAAATGCCCTTTTCCATGGCGCTGTATGCTCCCAACGCGATACTGTCTTCATGGAAAGACGACGACATTCCGCCGAGGGAGAGTGAGAGAATGTCAACTCCGTCCTCGATCGCCGTATCCATCGCCGCCAGAATCTCACTGTCCGAGCACCCTATTTCATTGCACACCTTATATATAGCCAAGTGAGCCAGCGGCGCAACCCCCGCCGCCGTGCCGTTAGCACTCCCGTACACATTTGCGCCTCTCACGAAATTCCCGGCGGCCGTGCCGGCCGTATGTGTGCCGTGTCCATCATCGTCGAACACCGATCTCTCCCTCTCGCTGAAACTCCTCGCTCCGATCACCTTGTTGTTGCACGCCGTGAAGTTGAGCTCGCACACTCCCTTCCATCTCGCCGGCGGCGGCGGCATCCCTTCATCGCTAAACGAAGGATGGTCACGCGCAATCCCGGAATCCAAAACCCCGATTATAACCCCTTTACCATAACTCGAATCTCTCCAGAATCCCATATTCTGCTGCAACCCCAAGAACCCTGGAGAATGGGTAGTGTGTAAAGGCAAAATTCTCTCCGGCGCCGCCGATATAAACCCGTCCTTGTTCCCCATTTCTTTCACTTCCTCGGCAGAAAGTTTAGCCGCAAACCCCTTCATAACATTCCGGTACATAAACACCATCCGCGACTCACCATAGCCGCCGCCGGCTACTGTGGTCGGCAGGAATGATTTATACCAGTGTTCTAAATCCACAGAAGATGAGGACGATGACTGAGTGGAAATTCTGCTGTGAGGCAACTCCACTCGAACAATGTAAGTCTCAAGTTTACTGGCAATAGTTGCCGTCGAACAAAAACCAATAAGTACGGAAAGGATTAAAAACATTCTCAAGAATTTCATGTTTGGTAACTAAACAATAATGCAAGAACAGAGGAATTTGGTTGATGATATTAGTTGGGTTCTGCTAAGGTGAATTATATAGTAGCATTATTAGTCTTTCATGCATGATTGACGATGACTATGACGACGTGGAAAAAGCTAACCTGGGACCTTATGTCGTTTGCTCTTTTACGCGTTAAACCAACCTTTTCTTCAACATGGACAGTTCAATTGGTCACATGGGTAAAATTTAAAAAGAATAATCAGGGATCTATACACAATAAGCAAATGTACTTCAAACATCTGTATTCAACTGAGTTACTATGATTTATCATAATTTACATCCTCCCAAATGCTGCTGTAGGGGGCCCTTGGAGTTGGGAATTCAACCTTTTGGCAAGAAACCCAACATTTTCCTCAAACCAAAAATCATGGAATGGTCCAAGCTTGCAAGTTGCCGATCAACTCCGTGAATCATGCACAATCTGTCTTGACTCTTGACGGGGCTTTATGGTTTAGCATGTCAACAGTTTGTAATTTGGGGTAGAATCAAAGACTAAAGACTTATTAATTAGTGTAGTGGGGATGGAGATGTGATTTAAATTCATCATACTTTTGAAGCACGTACTAAAACAAGACGTGTTAGAACAGGATTATTCATTGGAAAGCTGAGCTTCCAAAGGTTCTTTTAGAGCATCTTTCATAACAATAACTTTTTTTGTTAGACTTTCTGCTTGCGAATTTGAAGAGAGGGAAGGGGAGAGAGAGGAAGAAATGGTAAAAAGAAAAACAAAAAAACTTAAAACTTAAAACGAAAATAATGTAATTGTGTACGTGCCACTAGGTTACTAGTGTGCAAAATGCACACAACCATCTCTATTCTTTATGAAAAATACTTAGTGTACTCCCAACTTGTACAATCGTTATGCTGTGCATCTATATGCACCATGCATGATGCATCCAGATGCAAAAACGACGTCATTTTGACGTCTAACTTAAAAATAAAAATAATTCAGAATTGCATAACTACACATCCATAATTTCATCACATCCATAATTTCATAATTATACATCCAGAATTACATAACTACACATCCATAATTTCATAACTATAAATCCAGAATTGCATAACTACACATCCATAAGTCCATAACTTCATAACTATACATCCAGAATTGCATAGCTACACATAGAGCCGTCAAAACGGTCTCGCGGGGCAGGACGGGCCAAAACGCACCAAAGCCCGTCCTCGTAGCGGGACGGGCTAAAAAGCCCGCCTCTTAGCGGGCTTGAAATGTGGTCGGCCCGCCCCGCCATGCCAAAGCCCGCTGGCGGGGCGGGTTAGCCCGCCAATCAATTTTTTCACTGTGTTAATTTTTTTTTTTAAATCACTGTACAATATCCTTCAAAAAAAAAATAATAAAGAATCACTGTACAGACATACAGTACACTAACACAGTAACACTACCTAGTATTGTATTCCTATAAATCTATAATCCTATAAGTTATAACACACTAACACAATTACACAAACCAAAATAACACAAAAAATAATATGTATTAAATACTAAATATATATACAAAATATATATGTATTAGCAGGTCGCGGGTTAAACCCGTGACCCGCCTGGACCCGTGACCCAGGCGGGACGGGCTAAAAAGCCCGCCTCCTGGCGGATCAAAATTTTAAGAACCCGTCCCCTACTTACGGCGGTACGGGACGGGTCGATCCGGCGGGTAAAACCCATTTTTGACGGCTCTAGCTACACATCCATAACTTCATAACTATAAATCCAGAATTGCATAACTACATATTCATAACTTCATAACTATACATCCAGAATTGCATAACTATACATCCAGAATTTCATAACTAAAAATTCAGAATGAATGAACTAAAAAATGAATAACATAATGTTGTTGCTGGGAATTGAAACTAGGTTTTTTTTTTTTTTTTTTAGTAGGAAGCGCTTTTTGATGCAAAACGACGTCGTTTTTGCATCCGTATGCACAACATAATTTGTCCAACTTGTACTCCCTCTCACATGTTCTTGATGTATTCACATTTTTATGGACCCACATAATAAAAATTAACCAATCCTTGTTTGCCACCTCAGGAAAAGCAAGGGAGTAGAATTTGAGAGTTTGTATAGTATAACTCTTTATTTATATAATATATTTTTCACCTCATCCCCACCAAATGCCTCATTTATTCTACAAGCAACTCGATCTTACCCCTCTCTCCTACAGGCTCTCTCATCCAACTCACCAAAAATCTGACAAAAAATTCTCCAAAAATCCTGTTAAAGTTGATCTTAGTTAATCTTGCATACTACTTTAATTTTCTTCTAATTATGTACCATATAAGCAAAGTATTTTTTTTTTTGTTGGGTATAAAATATCATTAGTTTTATATAGTAATTGGTTGTAAACAGTTAGTTTTTTTTTTTTTTTTTTTTTTTTTTGGTAAACTCTTTTAAATTTCCACCTTTTGTTGTTGTTGCCTACATGCAAGATCTATATATAGTGTTGGAGTTACTTTGAATTGTTCGTTCAAAACTTAAACAATTTAAACTTAAATTTTGATTCAATGGTTATTGACAGATGTGTATAATTGTGTTTCAACAACTTCTAATGATTTCATAGCCTTGGTTACCCATTTGTCATTATTTTTTTTGGGTGATGGGGGAAACTCGATATCTGTCACTATTGTTAGCATAGGCCATGTTTGGTAAATGGCTATTAGTTGATGGCTGTTAGTTGATTGTGTTAATTAGAGTGTATAACTAGTTGATGCCATTAGTTGTTGTAAAAAAGTGTTTGGTAAATTAGCTGTTAGTTGATAGCTGTTTGATATAATTTTTTTTTCTGAAAAAGCTAATTGAAAAAGTTGTTTGGAGTAGTTTTTTGAATTTTAGCATTTTGAATTTGCAACAAGCTAATTAACCAAACAATTATATTGATAGTTTAACTAAATTAAACAATTAATAGTGGTCAAATAAGCCAAAATTAACGTATAGGCCAATTTTTTACCAAACAGGGCCATAATCTATGGCTTTTCTTTGAACTTTTTGAATGTTAAAGCATTTTTTTTCAAATTTAAAAATATTCTCCTTGATTTATGTGTCAAACAACCTAATATGATAGTGCTATTAAATGCGGTGGGTTCTTTGAGGGCACCAAACACTAGTCTTATTACTTAATTGATCGCTAAGTCACCCTAATTAATCACTTCTAGAAATCTTGTTGGGCCGGGTTGCGGGGCACCTCAAGTGAGGAATTTTAAGTTTTGTGGGCAAAGTAAAGTTGAATGTTTTTTTTTTTTTTTTTTTTTTTTTTTTTTTTTTTTGTCTAAATGGCGATGAACCAATGAAATTAGCTACAAATTAAAACACTTGACAACTAGTCTTTGATCTCTTTCTTTTCTAAAGTTTACTTCACTAGTCTTCATTGACTTTGACTCTACTGCTTTGTGCATGATCTTATTCTACTGCTCTGTGACTTTATTAAAAGACTTGGCAAATAATTAAAGAAATTTCTAAGGTGTTCATTAACACCATTGCATTATAGTAGCGAATACGATAATGTATATATTTTATTTCGTAAAGGTGGCCAATGTCCGTAACTGGATCAATCCTGGACCTGGGCTTGCACAGCAGAACGTTATAGTGGGCACGGTTCTATATTCATAATTTTTATACTGTAGATTCATAATTTTTATATTGTAGATCATAATTTTTATATTGTAGATCATAATTTTTATACTTTAGATTCATAATTTCTAAACCATAGATTCATAATTTAAATACAGTAGATTCATAATTTCTATATAGTAGATTCATAATTTCTATACTGTATATTCATAATTTCTGTACTGTAGATTCATAATTTCTGTACTGTAAATTCATAATTTCTAAAATGTATAGTTATCAAATTATGAACATATAGTTCTCTGATTTGTGAAAACAGAGTTCAACAATTGGAATCTAAAGTATAAATTTTATGAATCTACAGTATAGAAATTATGAATATATAGTATATAAATTATGAATCTACAATATAGAAATTATTGATAGGAAACCGTGCCCACCTTGCAAGGTGGACACATGCTCACAGCATAATTTTCCTGCACAGACTGGAACCAGTCCTTAATTATATGGGCCATTCCCACTCTGGGTCGGGCCTGGGCCCGGGCGTCTTGTGGGTTGACCCCGTGTTAGAACCAGAACTTTTATTTATTTATTTTTATATAAAATAATTATAATATTTTTTTTTTAAAAATAAGATTTAACCCATTAACATTATAGTTAATAATCAAAGTTATATCTAACTGAGCCACTTCAACTTTTGAATACAATAATACTAATTACTCCGTGTTATATATATATATATATATATATATATATATATATATATATATATATACTCTTTCTCTCTCTCTTACAAAGTTAATTTTTTTTTAAATAAAAATTAAATCATTAACCTCAAAACTAAAAATTAATAATATTTTTTTACTAAATTAAAAATTTTAAACAAATTGTAAAATTAAAAATTTATAAATACTTGTAATGTTTATAATATCATTTGAATTTTATTTTATATCACTAAATTATGTTAGATTAATAAATTTATTAATACATTATAAAAATTAATAACTTATAAATATTATAAATTGTATTATAAAGTTTATTTGATTTTTAGTCACTAAATTATGCTAAATTAATAAATTAAAAAATTTATAAAAGATTTTTTTTTTTTTTTTTTTGAGTTTGTTGTTAATAATATATAGAAACACTAAGATGCATATGTATCCTCAATAATTTAGAGAAATAAAAACTCACATAGTTGAACATTTAATATGCAATAATTGACCATTAAGGCATTAATAGATAAATGTAAGGTTTCAAGTAAAAAATTTATTGATATTATGTTGGAAGAAGCATTACATAACGAAATTGAAAACAAATTATTTATTAATTCAAACTCATCTGGGCTAAAGTCGGGGTCTGGGTCTGTGTGTGGGTTCGTGCCTAAACTATGCCTTGATGCGGCCCTGGGCCAATTATGAGCTGGGCTCGAGATCTTTTAATAGGACATGGACTGACCCTGTACAATTCGATCCCGTTTGCGCTAGGCCCGATGAAGCCCAGGTTCAGTTTTTTCTGGGCAGATTTAGGGCTAGTTCGGTCCTGAACCGAGCGGTGACCACCTCTACTATTTAGGATGTATCAGATATTATGAACACTTATTCGTACAGTATCCAACCCGACATATCATGTATGATTGTATCGAGTACAAGAATCCCCAGCACTTATTATACCTTAAAAATTTCCAATTAATTTTTTTCGGAAAAAAATTCCTATTATTAATTGTATTGAAACTTTATAATCTTTAATTATTGTATATTTATTAATATGACCAATAATTTTCTCTTTAATTGGACCGGTCTGGTGTGAACAATGCTTATTTTAATACTAGTATTTTATATGCGTGATGCGCAAAAAATATATGCCCAATATTAAAACTAAATATTAAAATCTTAGTTATATTAATTTTTTAAAAAATAAATGTGTGTGTGTGTGTGTGTGTGTGTGTGTGTGTGTGTGTGTGTGTGTGTGTGTGTGTATATATATATATATATATATATATATATATATATATATATATATATATATTTGTATAATTCACATTAATATTTTTGAGGTAAAAATTATAGAAATGATAAATTATTAAATATAACTATGGCAACATTTTAATTAAAACCTAAATGAATTATAACTTACCATGGAAGGATGGAAGAAATAATATTATGTATGCATGTACATGGTAATAATAATGTAGAAAGATAACAGAAGTTATAACTGCAGGGATATTTTTGTCCAAAAAATTATGTAGTACAACTTTTATAGCATAAGGTACAAAAGAATTTAACAGAAAAAACGGACATAAACCAGGGGTATAACTTGGATTGAAGCTTATTATGTTTTTAGATGATACGGATTTAAAGATGTTTCTTATAGTAAGGGTCTTAGGGCTTGCTCAGGCTCAGGTATGGCTGTTAACGAACCGAACATAAACAAACGGAGGTTGTTTATGTTCGTTTGTTAAGAATTTTGGAGTGTTCGTGTTCGTGTTCGTTTGTTAAGGTTTTTGAAAATTCTGTTGTGTTCATTTGTTGAGCGTTCACTAGTGTTTGAACACGTTCACGAACTTGTTCGTTAACATTAACGAACACGTTCGCGAGGTTCATGAACACTTAATAACCAAACACCTTCACATGTTCATGATCACAATTCGTTCGCGAATAAGAAATAATATACGTTCACGAACAATAACCAAACAAACGACACAACTACAAAACTAATACAAATAACTGAATAAGTCCTATTTAACATCTTATATATATATATATATATATATATATATATATATATATATATATATATATATATATATATATATATATATATTTATATGTATGTGTGTGTGTGAACATTAAACGAGCTTGTTTATGAACATTATTAAACGAACATTAAACGAGTTTGTTCATAAACATTATTAAATGAACACAAACAAGCTTGTTCATGAGCTTTTAACAAACGAGTCTACAAATGTTCAGACTCTATTCGTTTATGAACCGAGTTTTAAAATTTGTTCATTTATGTTCGTTTACCTTAATAAACGAACGCTTACCGAACACGAACACAAGTAATTTACTGAAAGCTCTGTTCGCTAACACCCCTATGCTCAAGGGCAATTTATATCGTGCACTAGGGTGCGCATTGCATTATGCGCCCTGATGCAAAACGACGTCGTTTCATATATTATTTTTTTTTGAAATTTCGCTGCCCTGTGTTGGCGGTTAATTTTCTTTTAAAAAAATCTCATGTTCAAAAATGTACATAATTCTATACTAGAATACACATAATTGTATGCATGAATGTACATAATTATATAACAAAATACACATACTTTTTTTTAAAATTTCTGATTCGAATGTATATAATTATATAAAAAAATATGTACATAATTATATAAAAAATGTACATAATTGTATAAACAAATACACATAATCACGTCAAACTCCCTACCACGCCTCCCAAAACGACAACGTCGTTTTGGGAGGCACGGGACGCATAGTGCTATGTGCGCCGTGGTACAGGATATGCTCAGGTGGTCTAACAAAAATAAATTATTGTATACTCCGTATTTATTAACTAATTAATACTCCGTACATTATATAGTTTGCGTAGGTTGACTTGGTCAAGTGGTCAACTGGTAATTACCCCCATTTTAAGTCATAGACTTTGCTTTTTTGACCATTGAACTGAAGAAAATTTAATTAGTGACTTGTCATAACTTCGCCATTAAGTATTTAACAAGTATGTGCTTTACATGGAATTTCAATCTTTTCTTTCTTCTGGTAAATTGATTTAACATCAAAATAAGACTACATATTACGGAGTAAATTTTAAATTAATACGAATTTATCTATATAGTGAATAAATAAACAACTCTAAAATTAAAAACAAGGCCTGCAACGGTTCTGGTTTTGGGGGTGTCGTGAAAGAGCTTCTATAGTGTGATGGTGGGAATGGATGTTACGAAGTCGTTGAAGAAGATGTTGGAATTTTTAGCATAAAATAGTATTTACAATGGTTATTTTGTGGTACAAATATATGCGGGGTTCACTTTTGATTTGGATTGAGTAAAAGTGGATTCGAGTTCTTCGTAGTGAGACGAAGAAATTGATATATGGTACGCTCAAAACGGATAATAGGTGAATGAGAAATTAATTTTCAAAGTAGACTTATTTGAGTTGGAAAATGAAGGTGAAAATGCTTGGAAGAAATACTTGTCCCACATTGGTTTGGGAAGTGGATTTGCACCACTATATATACAAGACCCTTTTAGAATAAATTTGAATTATATAGTATAAAGGCTCTCTTTTGTGCACAAGGGAAGCTTGAAAAAGCTTGACTTGTGTACGTCGGCATTTGTGAGTTGACTTGTGTACATCGTCTCTTGTGAGTACGAATGTCGTTCGAAGATTGGCCGAGCATTAATTTCCTCTCTCATAAAATCATTTTCTTATGAAATTTTCTGTCAAAATTTCTATAAATAGTCAAAGTGCTCAGCATGGTGTTCTAGTTCATCTTGTTTATTCATTTGAGTTCTCAAACGTTAAATCATGATCCATTTTATCTTGGGAGACTGATACTACAACGCTTCTAGCACCATCGGGAGGTAGCGAATCAGTTTTAAGGAAAGTGTGTAGTACACACGACTTGGATCTTCCTTTCTTTCCTTTGGGTTTATAATCTCATATTTAAAAACCCTCTTTTCGTTTTTATTTATTTCATATAAATAAATTCGATACCAAGCACCTTGTGCTCAGATGGCATGTAATGACCTTTCCCATGTGGGAGGTCATGAGATCGAGTCTCAGTGGAGGCGTTGTTGAGACTCTGTGTGCTACACTAGGTCGAGAAAGTATGTACACTAGGTTGGGAGGTCATGAGATCGAGTCTCAATGGAGGCGTTGTTGAGACTAAATAAATTCAATCATTATATTTAGAGGAACACTCAATAAGGGTACAACTCAAGGATAAAGAGGTAGGCACAAGAGTATGCCCTCAGCCTCAGCCTGCGACCTGCCCATCATGAACACCCTGCCCGAAGGCTTCGTCCCTCTCGAGCCACGGCTGAAACTCCCTCCTGGCGGTCTCCCGGGTCTGGTGCTAGGCGGTAGAGCTCCCTGATCGGACTGGAGGTGACACTCATAGGCTTTGTGGCCTCTCCTTCCACACTTGAAGCAATGGAGCAGGTTACCTTGACGTCCTTCCCGATGTGGTCCTTTCCACATCTCCTACACCCGTAGGGTTTCCCTTTCTCTCCATTATCTGCCCAAGCCGACCCCTGAGTCTAAGAAGGAACTGGTCTTGCCCTGAAGTCCTGCCTCGGCCTCTTGAAACCTTGTGGCCCACTCCTTTCACCCCTTTTCCTGGCCAACTCACTAGACCCTCTTTGTAGCTGCTGCACTCGGTACAAATCCGCCGCACTCAAATAAGCTTCATTGAGCATCCTCGGCTTGCTAACCGTCAAAGCCTTCCTAGCTTCATAGTTGAGTCCCGCAACGAACTTTTCAACCTTAGCCAACTCGGTAGGGACCAACATTCGCGCGAAGCGAGCCAACTCAAGGAAACGCTTAGGTGGAGGAACTCTTCATACATAGCTGCCCTCACGTGAGACGGGTAGAACCTTTCCCGCAGCTTATCATTCAACTCTGCCCAATCGAACCCTGCGTTTTCGAGGCACGCCGGGCCTTCATGCACCCACCAAAGATCTGCCTCATGGCTGAAGTAGAATGTGGCCAACTCAACACGACGGTCTTCCGGGCAACCAACTACCGCGAAAATCTTGTCCAAAGATCGAATCCATTCCTCAAGAAGGGCGGGGTCTTCTTCCCCAGCGAAGGCAGGTGGTCGATGACCCAAAACTAGACGACCACGTCACGGTTCCCAACAGGTGGTGGCGGAGGGTTGTTGTTGTGCAAGAGAGCGTTGCTTAGCGTCTGCATTGTCTGAGTCAAGTGTTGAAAATTCTGTGCCAACTTCTCATTTGTAGGCGTCTCCGGCGTCCGGGCACGGTGGCGAGGTGGTGCCATTGCAAGATTCTACAGAAACAGCACGGTTACGGCAAAACACGAGGAAGCTGAGCACCCTCACCCGACGCTTAAAACGAGAGAGCTAAGACTAAGCAAGGACAACAAAACAAGCACAACAAACGATAAAGGAAACTCACATCTCACCGCGCGTCCTAAGTATCTTAAGTCCTAACACTTAGGTACTTAGAGGTCAACTTAGAGTCTTAAACCATACTTAACTCCTAAAAGTTCAACTCCTAACATCCTAGGCTCAAACCTAGGCTCTGATGCCAACTGTAACACCCCCGAATTTTACCAACATTTTAATGCTTAATTTAAAGAAAACAGTCTAATCATTAAGCATAAACAAAGCGGAAGCTAACATAATTTGGGTAGTGCTATTCCACACCTATACCAAAAGATAGGTGCACAGGCTACAACTAAAACCATTGTCAAAGATCTACGGCTCACAGGCCAATAGCAAACTAAGGCAACACGAGAGCTACACTAACTACGGTCCACATCTAGCGCGCTCTTCAATCTAATCAAAACCTGTAAAAATAAGGGATACCACCCGGTCAGCGAATAATGCTGGTAACCCACAAATACGCGTTAAGTATCAATATATATACATAGATATAGTCAAAACCGTTTGAAACTGAGGAGTACAGTATATAGCATTTGAAAACCAAGAGAAGAGACAACAATAGACATATTACACTCTCAATAAAGATCAAGACCAACAACTTCAACAAAGCAATAGAGACCGCAATCAACAAGTGACTACCACAACTCTAGATGCAACCTACCATTCACAAGGTAGAGTTCATCATAGACATGCTCATAAGCAAGAAATACAACAATCACATAATGACAAGTTTCACGTTCCAACCTTATGCCCTGTTCCAACCTTATGGCTACCCCCGGCCTTATACCAGTTCCAACCATTACCTCCTAGTGCCACCCTGTACTTCTGAGTCTAACCTTATTCCGCCTGGGACCGTCGTCCCCCACCAATCTTTACCACCAATCTCATAGTATTTGTAACACCCCCGATTTCCATACCAAATTAAACCTTAAACATGCAGATAAACTAACCATAAAACATACACAGCGGAAGACTAGATATGAAATAGATGGAAAACGTAGTGTCATGCCATGCTCACACCACGGTGAACGCACAGGTGTAAACATCTGCAACATAATCTATCAATCTCAAAACCAAGGTCAACGACATAACTTCTAAGTCTAAACAAAGGCACGCAAGCCCGAAACATCATAAAGAAAAGGGGATCTATTCTAACAGCTTCTAGACCGCGCCCTCATCTAATCAGCACCTGAAAGAAACACAGATATATATATGGGACGACGCCCGGTCAGTGAATGATGCTGGTAACCCACCAATACATGTGAAATATCATATGTAGATAGTTTATATGTATACAAAATCGTTTGCGAAACGGGATATAGTATATATCAATTCAAAAGCCAAGATAGAGATCAGCCACAGGACTCTATGCACTCACAACAAAGTTAAGGGAACACATCCCAAGACATCAAGAAGCAATAACGACTCAAGGCATAATCTACCATCACACAGTAGATTAACACCCGACATGCATAACACAAGAGAATAAGGACACAACCATTGGCAACACATTGCCTTCGTGACAACACATGTCACAAATAGAGAAACACAACAACGGCTACACAAGCCTTCGTGACATCACCCATCACGAATTGAGATGCCTTCCTTATGCCCGGTTCCAACCTTATGGCTACCCCCAACCTTATGTCTAGTTCCAACCATTACCTCCAGGACCCCTGTACTTCTGAGTCCAACCTTTTCCCTCCTGGGACCATCGTCCCCCACCAACAACCACCAACAAGACCACCGATTCATAGTACACAAGGTACCGATCACACACACGGCAACACATGCCACCCAAGAAATACGTGAACCCATCACTCCGGTCACAAACTCCATAATCGCGTCATGGCCACCACGAGGACCACTGCCGTACCTTGGTGACTAATTTCCCATACCATTAATCGTGCAATCCAGGTACAGCCACACACACCACACCACAACAGGAATCAATCAATGGATCACAACGAAGATATGAAACCATACTCAATCAAAGAAAGGATCACAATCCGACTCCAACAATGATTAATACAATTCATCATCCACAATAGGATAAGACAAACAACACACACGCTAGCATTTAAACACCGAACTAGCATGCTTATCAAACGGGTAAACCAAACATAGTTCTGAAGAACACACAAGACTCATCACGGTTCAACGAATCACAATGTTGAACACTTAGCATGATTCAAGACACCAAAACCTACATGGATCCTACCATATAGTTCTAGACATACGAAACATCAAGAAGACACTCAAATAGTTCCACAAAAGAACATCGGGAAGTCAAAAGACCAAATACTGAGTCAAAAGAATGACGGGGAACAAATCCCCAAACAACACCATATACGTACCCGTGGGTGGAGCCACGGGTGGACCTCCACCCGTGGTTCCGCCCGCGGGAACCACTCCCACGAGGCCTTGTACCCCGCGAGTGGGGTGACGGGCGGTGCCCCGCCCGCCGTTCCGCCCGCGTGTACACTGTACCAAAAACAATCCCTTCGGGGATTTTCAACTCCAAGCTCAAATTCAAGTCCAAAACATGCCAATCTCACCAAATACAACAAAATGACTTGAATCAAAGGAATAGCCAAGCAATGACATACAAGAATCCTAATAACAAGCTCTAGATATGCATTTTCACAAGACAATGCATCAACACTCACATTTCATAGCAAACCACATGTAGAATCCAAGAAATCATCATATAGGTAAGCAAAATAGATTTTGTAGAGCATGGGTTACCTCTTGAAGACAAAAACCTTCACTTAACACTTCACCAAGCTCCTAATAGGGTTCACCTTGCTCCTAATAGGGTTCACCTTCCACACCCACTTCAAGAACACACCAAAAGATCATAAAGATTCTATCTTTTAGGAAAGACACCTTAGAAAACACTAAAAACACAAGATAAACATAGATCTTACCCTCCTAGATGCTCAAAGGTAGGAAAGGTGGAATCTTGAAGACAAACTTTGAAGATTTGGTAAGGCTCCAACTTGGCTTGGAAGAAAAGCTATCTAACTTTTAGAGAGAAGGAGGAGCTTAAGTTTAGGAAGTGTAAGGGGAAAGAATGAAGGGTGATCCTCTATGTTAGCTTGCAATTCTAACATAGGGTGAAATGTCTTTGCTAACCTTACTAAAATGAAGAGGTGTAAGGGAACAAGGGAACTACTTACAAAGCTTTAGGTACAACACTTGACTTTGGGTTGACTAGTCAATTACTAGTCCCTGACTATTGAATTTTCAAGAATTTAAGAAATTAAATTATCAATTGGATTAGGATTAATTACTCAATTAATCCCTTCATTGAATTTGGATTACGGGGTGTCACAATATTATCACCGATCTCTCAGTACACGAGGGTGCCATTAAATAACACAATATTACCACCGATCTCGTGAGCAAAGCTCAAATAATATTACCACCCAACTCATTCATATTCACTCATAGTCATCATCATCAAGAAGATTAAGGCTCATCAATAGCCCAATCAAGTATCAACAAAGGGTACAACGATTTGCACAAGATCACACCATAATAATCAACCAAGAGATTTCAATGAAGACATGAAGCAATACTCAATAACAATGGAGTACAATCCAATACCAATATGATTGGCAACACGAATTGCCAATCCTCAACAAGAAGGAACAAACCATACATACTAGCATAACAACATAAAACTAGCATGCACGTCAATCGGGTGAACAAAAATGGTTCCAACGAACCTTCAAGACTCATATTAGTCCAACGAATCACAAGGTTGGACCCTTAGCACGATTCAAGACACCAACATCCTAACATGGATTCCTAACACATCGTTCTAGACATCTGAAACATCAAGAAGACTCACAAAAGCTCAATAATCCAACAATGGGAGGTCAAAACATCAAATACCAAAGGCAAGAACCACGGGGAAACAATCCCCCGCATCATCACATACGTTCCCCGCGGGTGGGGCCACGGGTAGAGCCCTGCCCGTGGGGTACAACCCACGAGGCTACGTTCCCCGCGGGTGGGGCGGCGGGTAGGCCACTACCCGCCGTTCCGCCCGCGGGGTACCTCCTGTACACCACATTTTTCCCTTCGGGGAAATTCAATTCCAAGGTCAAGTTCAAGTCCAAATCACCCAAAACCTCACACACAACAAAGATATGACTTGAACCCAAGAATAGCTCAAAGAAAGACATTCAAGAACTCTAAATACAAGCTCTAAACATCATTATCACAAGATCATGCATCCATTTTCACAAATACACCAAGAATCATCAAATAGAAGCCAATAATTATTCATAGCAATAGAAAATAGATTTTGTAGAGCATGAGTTACCTTTGAAGACTAAAAACCACTTTCTTGTTACAGTCCTAAGCCTCTCCTTGAAGCTCTTTCTCACCCAAGACTTCTTACACAACCAAACCACAAGGAAAACACCAAAATAAGATAAAGATACCTTAAAGCTAACTAAAAACACTAAACAACTTAAGATCTTACCCTTTCCTATGCTAGGGAGGTAGAAAGGTGGAATCTTTGGATGAATCTTTGCAGAGAAAGCTAAGATTTCTTTAGAGAGAAGGTGGAGTGCTTATGACTTGGCTAGCAAGGGAAATGAGTGAAGTGTCTTGCTAGGGAAAACTTAAGCATCAAAACATGTGTGAAAGGTCACCTTTGCCCTTACTAAAGTTAGGAAGACAAAAGGTTGTGGTACAAAGCATAAGGCAAAAGGTACACATGGTTGACTGAGGAAACTAGTCAAATTCTAGTCCCTCGACTATCAAATTTCAAGTTTTTAGAAAGAAATTATCCAAGGAGAAATAGGATTAATTCCTCAATTAATCTCAATTAAGGGTTAGATTTACAGGGAGTCACAGATGCAACCTGCAAGGAAGATTTAGTAGCAAAAGGAAATACTTCTTCATCAAATCTGACATGCCTTCATGTGTAAATCTTATTAGTCTTTAAGTCCATGCACCTATACCCCCTAAAAGACTCAGGATAACCTAGGAAGACACAAGGAGGAGACTTGTATGACATTTTGTGACGATTGTATGGTCTTAAGTGAGGATAACACAGACAGCCAAAGACACGAAGAAAAGAATAGGAAGGAGGAGACTTGTGCAACACATGATGAGGACTAGAATTGTTTAAGACACTGGAAGGCATTTTATTAATCAAATAAACAGCAGTCTCAAAAGCAAAATCCCAAAAACGATATGGAATATAGGCATGAGCCATAAGAGTGAGCCCATTTTCAACAATGTGTCTGTGTTTCCGTTCAACACGCCCATTTTGCTCATGAGTATATGCACATGAATGTCTATCATTAATGCCCAGTTGCACAAACGAGGAGTGTAATTTCTTATACTCTGCTCCTATATCAGATTAAATAGACTTGATTTTACGATTAAATGAACGCTCAACTAAAGCACGAAATTGATCAAATATGGCATAAAGATTAGATTTCTGCTTCATAGGAAAGTACCAAGTGTAACGAGAATAATTATCAACAAAGATGACAAAATAACGACAACCATTAGAAGATAGCAAAGGAGTCGGTCCCCAAATATCAGTGTATATCAAATCAAGAATGTCTGAAGTACTAGACTCAACACGTGCCAAAGGGAAACGTGCAGATTTACCCAATTGACACGCTGAACATAAATTAGAATTGCAACGAATACTACGACGACTAAACCCACTAACCGAACATGACGAAAGAATTTGACTCAGGACACGCTGAGGAGGATGACCCAAACGATCATGCCAAATCAAAGCGGAAGCACGAGCGGAGAGGAACGCAGAGGGAGATGAATATGGAACAGGCAAAGCGTATAGATCGCCCCAACTACTGCCCCGTAGGAGGATTTCCTTGGTCGTAATATCTTTCATAAGGAAATAATAAGGGTGAAACTCAAAAAACACATTGTTATCTGTAGCAAAACGTTGAACAAATAATAAAGAGGTAGACAGACCAGGAACATGTAATATATTAGACATTGTAAAAGACCTAGAAGGGGTATCAAAAGTAGTATGACCAACATGACTAATAGACATGCCCATACCATCACCGACACGTAAAGTGTCATGACCAGTGTACTTCTCCGATGTAGAAAGAGCAGCTATGTCTGGAGTTGCATGATTTGTGGCTCCAGTGTCTGGAACCCAAGTATGAGAATTTGATGAGGTGTTAGGACCAAAACCATTCTGAAACACCAAATTAGCCTGAGGACCCGAAGCCCCTGAATAACGCTGAATACAAGTGGATCCCGTGTGATTAAAACCTTTACAAATTTGACACTGATCATCATAGCGCTGAAAGCAATTGGCTCCCGTGTGACCGATGTAGCTGGAGTTGCATAATTTGTGTAGTAGCTAATCAATTAGCTCCCGAGAGTCTGTTTTATTGTCTTTGCTTTGTATGACTCTCTTATTGACTTGAAACCTTGATTCTTGTTGTTGAGATTGATTTGCTGGCAAAGTGGACAGTGTGGGGCTTATTTGATATTGATTTGTGATTGGCGGGCCTCTAGCTCTGTTTGCAATGGGTCATGTTGGTGTGGGAAGTCCTTGACAGGTCCGTGGTGTGGAAAGCCCCGATCAACCATTGTGAACTGATCCGGTAGTGTGGAAAGCTCCTGGTAGGGGGTGTATACACTTAAACTTGCTAGATCTGTTTCCGTTGGACATTGATTGATTGGTCACTTGTGACATTGGTGCTGACTGGAAGCCCTCCACACTGATCTACGTTGGTATCGAGTCACTACCGTTGACTCCGGGGTATATGTTTGATGATTGTGTCCTTGTGGACTTGAAACCTTGGTATTGTTATTGAATGCATGATTATGATGAGAACTATCTATGCTAATTATTATGATTGTTCTATCTTTCTCATTGTCCTTGATTCGCTATCGTTATTGCGTTGAATTTGTCTCTTTATTGATATCCTCGTTGTAGATTGACATGTGTTGAGTATATCTCTTGTATTGGTCTGCTCTTGATTCCATTCCTTATGATTTACTGAATTAGAGTTGATTTGCGAAATATATATGTATTCCCAAGTCTCAAAACTATTTCAAAGTATTAAATGTATATCTACATATCTTTACACATTGGAGTGAGGTTACTTAGCATAATCGCTAATGGTTTCAAACTGTTTTCAGGTATGGAGTAGTCAGCTTATGAGAGCGCGATAGTTGGAGTCTACCCTTCACTCTTAGCTAGATTACTTAGATAGTTTGTTATTTGGCCTGTGAGCCTATGATACTTTATGATGTTGTTAAACATGTTTGAGACTAATTTACGTTTAGTATGACGTTTGTACGTTATGGATTAGACTAGGCTGTGCATTTAGGTTGTGATAACCTAAATGTGGCATAGCATCCCCGGGATTTTTAGTTTTAGCTTCCGCAATTTATCTATGCAGTTAGACTCTTTTATCTATCTTTAAGTAGTTGTATGCCTATATTTATGCTTAAAATCGGGGGTGTTACTGTAACACCCCGTGTTACGACCTCTAACCCAAACTAATTATTTAATTACCTACCCTAAAAAGAGAATTAAAATCTATTAATTAACTAAAAAGGGGTCCACCATAGCCCATGGACCCTTATCCTTAAAACCAACCCCTTAGTCCTATAAGGAATAGAATTAGCATGCCCATACCATTTAGACCCTAATTGGGACTCTTAGGTATATATAAATAGGGGCGTAGGAGGCACCTAGAACCCACACCACAATAACTCTCACCACACAAGAATTCCCAAGAATTCCCATAGGAGAAATCAAGAAAGAAGAAATCTTAAAGAAAGACCCTTCATAGCCAAGGAATTTAATTAAGGCTAAGAGGTAACCCATGTCTCAACAAAACCTATTTTCTTTGCTATAATCCTCTTCTTTGGCTTCCTCTATATGCTTGTGTCTTGATATGATAATTGCGATGTGATCCTAATGATTGATGAGATTAATTTATGTGTGATCTTGATAACCTTGATGATGATAAGAGAATCTTGATAATTGTGTGATATTCTTGATAAGTCTTGATGTTTCTTGATTTTAAAGATAAACTATGATCTTGATAATTTAAATATGATTAGAGCCCTAAGTTGAATCATGAATTTCTTATTGGGATTTTCGTGGTATATTTGGGTGGGAATTCACATGTTCAGGTGTTGATTATGTTTAGAAGTCATGATAGGTTGTGTTCTACGTGATTGTTGCTTTTGATCCGTTAATTGCTTACGTGGTGTCGTTATTGCGTTTAAAAGTGTCTAAGAATGGTTTCGGGTTTCACAAAGGATCCCGGGACGTTTATTTTGATAAAGAGTCAGTGGGGGGTAGGGGGACCCGCCACCTACCCGCTGCCCAAAGAGACGCCGCCGGCAGCGGGCAGCCGGGCACCCGCTGCCTGGAAGTCTGTCGCCGGCGGGTGGCCCTCCACCCACCGGCTACTCGCTGGTCGTTGCCCACTTCGGGACTTTGGATTCCCCGTTTAATGTTCCCCAACCCCCGTGGTGTCCCAACGGACTCCGTTTGTCGTGCGTGAGTGTAACACCCCGTGTTACGGCCTTTAATCCCGAATTAATTATTTAATTAATTTCATTAATAATAATTAAAAAGGATTTAATTTGATTAGAAATCCCTTTAATTAATTAATGTGGTCCACTACGGATCGTGGACCCTTGCCTAAACTAGAGTCATAAGCCTATTAGGAATAAAGAAAGTATACCTTTACTATTCAGATTATGGTTAGGATTCTCATTAATTAATTAATATGGTCCACCATGGACCATGGACCCTTATCCCTAAAACAAGTCCTTAGTCTTATAAGGAATAGAATTAGTAAACCCATACCATTCAGACCCTAATTAGGACTCCTAAATATATATATATATATATATATAAGGACATAGGAGGCACCTAGAAGTCACACCACAATAGATATCACCACACAAGAATTCTCAAGGGACTCCCCACCACCAAGCCTAGGGAGATCAAAACGGATGGAAATCTTAGGGAAGAACCTTAATAGCCAAGGGGTGATTAATTAAGGCTAAGAGGTAACCCATGTCTCAACAAAACCTATTTTCTTAGCTATGATCTCCATCTTAGGCATCCCACTATATTCTTGTGTCTTGATGAATTATTTATGATATTGATGATGTGATCTTGATAATTGGCGATATGGTTTTATCTTGATAATCTTGATGATGATAAGGGTTTCTTGATGATGGTGTGATATTCTTGAGGAATTCTATAACACCCCGTGTTACGGTCCTAAAAACCAATTAATCATTAACCAATTATCCAAAAGAAAGAATTAAATTATAATAATTAATTAAGAAAAGGCCCACCATAGTCCGTGGGCCCTCACCTTTAAAATCCAACCCTAACCCTAAAAGGAATAGAGTTAGCAACCTATAGTACCTAGACCCAAATTAGGACTCTTGGGTATATAAATAGGGAGCATGAAAGGCACCTAGAACCCCCACCACAATAATCTCTCACCACCCAAGGAGCTCCAAGAATTCCCTTAGGAGAAATCAAGAAAGAAGAAAGCTTAAAGAAAGACCCTTCATAGCCAATGAATTAATTAAGGCTAAGAGGTAACCCATGTCTCAACAAAACCTATTTTCATAGCTATGATTCCCCTCTTAGGATTTCCCCCATATTCTTGTGTGTTGATGATTCGTTATATTGATCTTGGTAATTGGTGTTATGATTCCATGGGTGATCTTGATGTTCTTGATGATTATATGGTGTTCTTGATGTTCTTTATGATTATATGATGTTCTTGATGTTTATGTGATATCCCTACCGAACCTTGATATTAGAAGATGAATTGTGCTCTTGTTGATTTAAAAGTAATTAGAACCTTAGGTTGTATCGTGGAACTTGTATGGTATCGTTCTTGGTATATTGGGTGGGAATTCGTATGTTTGGGTGTTGATTATGTTTAGAAAAGCATGATAGGTTATGTGTCGTATGTTCTTGCTTTTGGATCCATTAATTGTCTACGTATTGTTGTCAACTGCGTTTGAATGTGTCTAAGCATGGTTTCGGGTTCCACAAAGGTTCCCGGGGCGTTTTTGGTGAAAAAGAGTCAGTGGGGGGGGTAGGGGACCCGCCACCTACCCGCGGCCTAATTGGGCAACACCGGCAGCGGGCAGCCGACGGGCGGGCAGCTGCCCGCGGGGCACCCGCTGCCCGGAATTATGCCACCGGCGGGCAGCCGGCGGGTGAACCCTCACCCACCGGCTACCCGCTGGAAAATACCCCAATTCGGGATTTCGGCTTCCCCGTTTGATGTTCCCCCGATCCCCGTGGCGTCCCAACGGACTCCGTCTATCGTGCCTATGTCTAGTTTGATATTTCGGGTACCGTTTGTAGGTTTTATGAGTCTTATATATTGCATGCTAGTTGAATTGGTATCCCGTTGACCTAGGTGAAAGAAGTATGAACCCCTTAGGATTATCCTTAGCATGTGAAGGATCACGCATAGGTTTTGTTATACGTTTTCTCCCCCTTCCCAATGTGTTAATGTGGGTTGCATGTGCTTGCTATGTGTTATGTGTGCATGATACCCCAATCCGGTTGCGATCGGATTGGTTATTCCTGAGCTGCGGTTCAGAAGCTGGCTGCGGTCAGATTTACACTCTCGGGCTGCGGTCCACCGTTTGGTTGCGATCAAACGTTTCTACATGAGCTGCGGTTCATATTTTGTGGCTGCGGTCAGATGACATACTCTTGGGCTGCGGTCCACTGTTTGGTTGCGATCAAACTATGATGAGTTGCGGTTCATAGGTCGGTTGCGATCGACCCCTCCGTGTTGCGATACGGGGCAGGGTGCTGCGGGGCCGTGTCAGAGCTATATGCGCTGACCCTCATGTATGGGCATGCGATTGGTCCTGTGGCGCCAACAAAGTGTGCTTGTGTGATGAGATGTGGATGAGTTGTTGTTATGAGTGTCTTGGGATGTGACTTTGGGATTTGTGACGGGAACCGTATATGTTGGGTTATGGATATTAACTGTGCTTATCTTTATCTGCCCTGCCTGTTTCCCTATGCTTATGAATTGTATATGCTTGATTATGTCCGTTGTCTGTGCTAAGCTCTATCTGTTGAGTCTATTCCCTGTTTTGAAAGCTAGAGTCTCTTAGGATATATCTTCATGCTTCAAAATGGTTTTTTGTATAACTATGTATATATCTATATGTATTGTATTTCAACGCGTTGGAGTAGGTTACCAGCAACTCTCGCTGAACAGATATATTTGGCTTTCAGGCACAGAAGAGTAGACACTGGAGCGCGCTAGAACCGTGGAGCGTAGAAGTAGTTAGTTTCCCTTTCGGCCTGCGTGCCATGATTATGTATTTGCATCATTAAGGATATTAGTTAGTTAGCCTGTGCACCTGAGTTCTCTAGCTCGAGGTGTGGCATAGCATCCCGCACTCTTTGTATTATGTTTTGAGAATTAATGAGATTTCACCTTTATTATATAAGCTTCAAAAGTTTAAAAATTTCGGGGTGTTACAAATTCGGATTCTTGATGATTATGTGATATTCTTGATGAATTGTATTGGTTCTTGATGTTAAAGGATGAATTACGTTCTTGATGATTTAAATATAATTAGAGCCCTAGGATGTATCGTGAAACTCGTGTGGTGTTATTCTTGATATATTGGGGTGAGAATTCGCATGTTTGGGCGTTAATTGTATTTAGGAAGCATGATAGGGTACGTGCCAAACGTTTCTCGCTTTTGATCCGTTAATTGTCTACGTGGTGTCATCGATTGCGTTTAAAAGTGTCTAAGCATGGTTTCGGGTTCCACAA